TTTTTTTTTTAAGTTTATTTATTTTGAGAGAGAGAGAAAGAGAAGAAGAGAGAGAGAAGGAGTGGTAAGGGGTAGAGAGAATTCCATCCAGGCTCCACACTGCCAGCATGGAGCCTGATGTGGGGCTCAAACCCACAAACCAGGAGATCGTGACCTGAACTGAAATCAAAAAAGTATGGAACATTTGACAAATTTGCATCACCTCCTTGCACAGGAGCCATGCGAATCTTCTCTGTATTGTTCCAATTTTAGTATATGTACTGTCGAAGCAAACACTGGATTCCTTTTAAAAACCACCCAATATTATTATTCATATGCACGACATGTCTACACAGAGACCCATGAAGCCCTCCTACACAGACAAATTCACACAAGCTCACATATTTCCTCACATGTGTACCTGCTGCCTCGCCCTGTTCGTGGGATCTCTTTTCTGTGGCTCTCTGTGGCCCTCATTTGTTCTCTGCCGTGGCAGACCTGTGTGCTGTGTATCTTCCTGCCGGTAACAGGCTTACTCTGTTGGTGGTTCTCACAAGGGTCATTGTATAAACCTCTCTAGTAGGCATGCAAAAATCTCCAGGGAGACCTCCATTGTTTGAAAATGTCTGCCTCCCGCACCTTTGCCGTGATTTGGCCATGATTTGATACAACTTCCTGAGATGGTTCTTCTCCCCGACACCCATCGAGAGTTTAATGAATATCGAATACCTGGTTTTGAATGGTGTCTGATGACAATTTCTTAAGCTTTGAGTAGCCTCCTTAAAGCAGCTCTGTCCAACAGAACTTTCTGTGATGCCAGAACTATTCTGTATCTGCGCTGCCCAGTATGGTGGTCATGTGGCTACTGAACTCCTAAAATGTGGACATAGAGGAAGAGTAAAGGACTTGCTTACTAACCCAGAGGACAAACATTTAATAAATGGTAACCTACACTTTTATTTTGTTTTGAATTACTTTTGAAAATGTTGGGTGTCTTCTTTCCCTTTTCTTTTTTCTAGTTTTTGCAGAAGTCAGAATTCGTTCACGTGGGCGTAATTGTACTCATCTTACTCTTTCCTAGACCCGTTTTGATTGATAACAACATTTTTGATCAAAGTATCTTTGGTCTCCAAACAAATGATTCTTTCTCTTGCCCCTCTTTACTCTTCCTGATATATATCAGCTTTATTGAGATATAATTCACATAGCATGCAATTCAGTCATGTGAAGTATATAATTCAATGGCTTTTAGTATCTTTACAGAGTTGTAGAACCATTAATACAGTGGATTTTATATTTTCATTGTCCCGAGAAGAAACTCCGTCCTCATTAGTGGTCCCTGCCCAGTTCTCCCCAACCCCGTCCCCCTCCCTAGCCAGTTAGTAATTGGCTTTCTGTCTCTGTGGTTTTGTCTATTCTGAACATTTCATATCATATATATATATATATATATATATATATATATATATAT